AATAATAATAATAATAATAATAATAAGTTAATATTTATATTGAGCAAATTAACATGTGGATATGATCAGATGCGCATCACAATACTTTTCGGGGGACTTTGGCCAGATTGCATCAGCAGTTTACAATCAATCGAAGGAAACTTATTTGAAGATGCCCCCTCCCCCCAAATCAAAAAGTGGGTTCTTTAACGTCCCCTGCCTAACCAACTGAATTAACTAATCAATAGATGCAGGAGACGGGACCTGCGGTTTATTCGTCCTTATCCGAGAAGACTAGAATGTCTATCCATTTCTTATTAAAGAAAGGTAGCGCATTCTCCTCAGTTATTTTAAGACCTTGAGTGTTGGTCCGGCCGGGACTCGAACCATCGACCTCGACCTCCCGCACAACAGTCCAGCGTTCTAACCAATTGAGCGAACCGGGAGGCGGTTAGCTCAATTGGTTAGAACATCGCAAATAAAAGCTGCATCACGATCATTATTTTATGATTTGTTAATATCCCTCCACTGTCATTTTTACAGAAGTGAACATAACTTTTTAATCAATTTAGCTCCTTTGATATGCATGTTACAGCCATAATGGAAACACAAGCTCATTTACCGAAGTTTCTCTTGATCACAAAAAATACAGTTTGATTGAGCAGTTTGATATTTAACCACTAATTCCGGAAAATTAATCTTCCAAACTTTCGCCGGTCCAAGTTGTTATCATCATTTCGCTTCCTTACAGATCCGAGGAAGCTCTGAAGATCAATTAACCAAATACATAATTTATAACGCCTCGCTTGAACTTGAAACATCTATATATTATCCAATATGCTACAAAAAGACGACATGCATTGCTTAAAATTGATCGAGACTAAGCCAAAAATTAGTAAATCGTAATCGCGCGCGAAGGTTAGATGCAAGAATTCAGAGTGCTTCCGTACCTTTATTTCCTCCTCTTTCCTTTGCCAAGGGGGTTTCACCAGAATTAGTTTAACCTTCTTGGATAAGTTGCTCCTCAGATGAACCGGAGACTTGAATGCTGGAAACAAATTTGAGACAAGTTTGTATCAACTCTGCAATGTTGCTACCATTCTGGCGTATTTTATGGGTTAGGAATTTTCAATGCAATACCAGTAATAAACTACCAAAGAAAATGAAACAGTATTCTCCGAAAAACAGGTGAAAAAAGACCAATAAAGATCGACACAAACAAGAAGTTTGATTACCACTGGTATTGAAAGACAAAACCTCTTGTGAGTTACCACTCTCTGCATTGATTTGGAACACTTTACTATGTTTGTCGGAAATTTTTGACTGTAAAGCTTTCGTCCATCGACTTTGTGATTGGACGGAACGAGCAAGTCGTTGAAACCTTTCTAACGGTGACGGTTCAGATTGTTCTGTCTCCTTAGACATATCTGAGCCTCTCTAAAAGTTTTTTTGAATGCTAAGTGACAATTAGAGTTCGCCGATAAAACTGCGCAAAAAAACCCAGTGTACTGTACATTACATCATAATTCAGTGATTGCACGCGCACATTCATACTGAAATTCCAAAGCCCGTGCATATGCGAGACATCACGGTTCAGTTCATTATAAATTCTTATCAAATTAGGATTAGGCATTGAGATGATGCAAAAAGTATCATTCAGTTGATATCTCTAGATACTTTGTGGGCTCTCCTCGGCGCTCCTAAATCAACTTCCTCAGTTGTAAATGGCGTTTCTTTTCCAGCTACCGGCCGCGGTATTTCTCATTAATTAAAACTCGTCACAAAACTTTAGAATTCAATAATTAAAGTTAAAGTCATGGAAAACTCTGCCTAGAATTTTTTTCGGAGTGAGTCTGAGAGGTAAGTTTGTTGTCGTTGTCGGTTTTTTTCACTATTATTATTGACACGAGTACCAAAAATGACGCTAAGAGCTTATAGAAGCGACTTACATAAACAGTGTGTACGCCCTAAAAGATCTTATAGAGTGACTGTTCATAGACTGAGTGCTCTGGCGTTTTTTAAATGACTTTGAACCATCGCCTTGCCATTAAATTCACACTGTCGTGAACTATAATTTTTGTTTTTTCTGCAGGTTGATTTATTTCCTGTGCTTTCTTGATATAAATTATAGTCACCACCTGCTTTATAAAGCGACAGCTCTAGAATGAAAGAAAACAGGACTGGAATGCATGAAAAAAGGTCTTCTATTCCTAATTACCGACGAACGAGCGTTGTCACAAATCCCTTTCTTCTCTCGGAAATTGACGAGGAAAGTTACGACTCGAGTTCCGAACCAATCTCGAACGCCGACAAATTACCGAAAACATCTCAAACAGCACCACTGCTGCAAAAACAGACTAGAGGTGGTGGCGTTAGTTTTAAATCAGTTGCAAAGGCTATCACCAAACAGAGAAACTGGTCCACGGTACTGAAGGTAAGTTGCAAGCCGAGGTGGATTAATCAAGTTTCGTCCGACCACGGCTGGCGTATGCAGATGAATGGAGCTGAACTTGAATTGAGCCAAAGCCAACAGAGAAATTATTTACCGGATCAACACTGATGATCCCAAAATCGCTTTGGTTTCTTCTAAATTAAACATTTTCTGACCGCCTATGTTTGAAAACTACTTGGAGGCAGTTCAACGGTTAGCGAGAGTAATAATCCCGCCGTATAACTCTCTGACAATGTTCTTAAGAGGGATTCAATAGAAACATACCTGAAGATACAATCACTTAAAAAACGATAACCACGAGTAACAAATGCGATCAGTTAGCAGTGGACACTCCACAAGGTGGCACTTCATGTGTCCACTGTCACGTGTCCACTGTTTCTAGGTCGACTTGGAATTTGAAGGTTGATTTAGAGAGGGAAACGGTGTAAATTTATACTGAAAGACGCGAAATGCAACTTAACTCGTGCAAAAAGATATTTTGTGAGATATTACCGGTGGCTGGCGTATTTACAAAGTAAGGAGGCACCAATCAACACATTTCTCAAACGTGTAATTTCAGAATGAGAGACCTTTTATGTTTATTAACAGCATGAGAAGAAACAAAAAATTAAACAGGACAGGTTTTGTGTATACAATATATCTATGTAGTCCTGGCGCTGTACAGCTCAATTGACGTCAATCTCGTATGGTCTAATTCTCATGCTGTCTTTCCCGCTATAGGAAGTACGTCAATCCGATGACCATAGCCGTGCCCGGGGATTTGTTGCGAATCTCGAGGACGGAGAAGGAAGATTGAGTTTCAACGTTAATGGTAAGTAAGCTGACCTGTAGTTAAGAAAATTTCGGGCTCAAAAACCCCCTCTTTTTAATACCACTCCATCACCCTGTATCAACTGTTTACTTAGCACCATGCGATTCGTCATTGGCTATGATCTATGAGAGTACAGAGTAAACTCCAGGATTACGTAATTGAACGTTGTTTTCTTTGTTTTGTCCAACATGGCGCTCAAGTTGGAATATGTTTTTAAGATGTTTCCAGACTACTAAAGGGAAATCCTCGAAGAGAGCAGAGATTGAAAGCGTTTTGGTAACTTAAAAAATACCAAACTGGAGACTAACCACCGAAAAAGAGTGCCGAATTCATCAGTGAATTTTGCCATCGTTGTTCTATTTGTTTTGTCAGACTCTTGCCTTTCTTGATCTTTAAGCTTTTAAGTCAGATGTCCAGTCTTGTGGCGGTTTATCTCCGGCTGTGAAGAAAACACTGAGAGCCCAGTCTTGGAACAGGACCGAAGAGGAAATTGAAGTTGTCATGCAAGTTGTGAAAAAGTTAAAATGCTTTGCCCGCTATCCCATGTACGTCAAAAGAGAACTCGCCAAAGTAGTGTACTACGACATGTTTGAGGGAGGGAGAGTGGTCATAAAACAAGGTTAGTGTCACAATTTAATTGACTCTCGTTGGGGGGAGGGGGGGAAGGGGTATGGAGGAGGAAGGGGTGCTCCACCTAAAGCTTGGTCCATACCTTGCAGGTATAAACTGATAAAATTCTTGATCACACCCTCTTGCATGCTCAGACGGAAATCACTGCAACCATTTCTACCCTGAAATATGTTATAACCGTTTGGGTTACAAACGGAACGTCGGAACTAACTTTTTTTTTCTGAATCTTTACTCCAGACATACTCATAATAATAATAATAATAATAATGATGATGATGATAAAAACTTTGTTTAAGTGTCAAATGTATTTAGCTGTACAAGCACTCACTATCAAATGTATTTAGCTGTACAAGCTAAAATACAAATGCATTTACTCACTAACACACTTCAGTACCTGGTTATTTACTAACCTCGTTAAATTTTTATCCTTTAGCTCTTAATAACCAAGCGGGAAGTCTGTATGGGAGAATCTTGATGGAGGTCGCCAGTACAGACCGAGCGCAGTGAGGTCTGTACCAGTGACCGAGGTCAAGATTCTCCCATACAGACCGACCTAGCTCGGTTAATAAGATGTTTATTATATGGCTGTGTCTTATATGCCAATTTTTTATATTCTTTGTACCTTTTTTTCTAGGCTGATCTAGATGCAAGTCTAGATGGGAAAATCTAGACCGCTTTCAATATTGATTTCAGCCAATCAAATTCGTGAATTCGGTAGTTCCCAGTCCTTGTGAGACACAGCCATATAATAATTTTAATTATTAAAAGCTAGATCATTGGATAATGCAATTCAAGACTTTTTATTGGCTTAGCCATTATGGTATATCAGCCAATATACCATAATTTACAAATATGGTAAGCGTACATGTCAGCTTAAAATTAAAAAGGAGCTGAAAATTTAATAATTTAATTTAACGTTTTTTAATAAAACAATTATTCCACTCGCGCTTGTTGGATATGAGATGATTATAGCTAACTTGGCGCTACTCGCCTCGTTGGCTATCTATCATCTCATATCCAACGCGCGCTCGTGGAATAATTGTTAAATACTACACTTCAGTTGTCCCGCGGACAGTCTGTTTATCGAGGGGCGCCATCAGCCAGTTAGCTCCAGTCTTTGTGATTCTTATGGTATTATTTCATGGGGTTCGTGTACAAATTCGGATCTTTTGCACTCAATTGAGAAACTTCACTGTAGAGCACCAAAAATTGTCTACAACTTATCCAAAGATACGGCATCTAGTGAAGCACTCGATGCTGCGGGATGGGATACAATTAACTTCGCTCACAAATTTCAAAGAGGCAACTTTTTTTTCTAGAAAGACACCTTGGCCCTTTAAGTACTCTTTCACTTGTACACGCTATTGGGCACTAAGTTGAGAAACTCAGATTGACCATTACTCAAACCTTGATTGGCGTCTCAAAACGAACATGGCCGATTTTTCCCGATGCAAACAATGAGCTCTGAAAGTTAAAATTGAATCGCCTATCGCTATTTGGGTGACTCATGTTTTCAAATCACTTCTGACTCGTTCTCGTCTCTCGCAATCAAAATATAATAATCAAGAGTTTAGTTTGTGTTTTAAACTTCAGTCAGATCTGTTTTTTTTTTTTTTAGACTAGTAGAACTAGACAGAAGACAATACAATATACCTCTCTGTTTCTTCTTTAGGACACGTTGGTATTTCGTTTTATTTTATCGTGTCCGGTTCAGTGATGGTGGAAAGAATGGAAGTAGACAAATTCACTGGTGAACAACATACACAGGTCTGTCAAGAGAAACCTCTCAGTTTCAAAGTACCGGGATATGTGCCCACCCCTTATTTGACTTGGTACCCCAATGATGTCCCATTCTCCGCGCGATTTTTTAAATGATTTTTGACTTCCTCGTCCAACACTGTGGAGAGTGGAAAACCTTGATTCAGTCTACATGACTGAAGACCTAAGATCCAAGTCTGACATTATACTGACATAAATAAAGGGTTTAATGTTCTAAGGAAACCTTGGTGGTGCGTTAGTGTAGGGTGATACAGGACGCTTTGGTTTCATCAATTCAACTGAGTGTTCATAATGTATATTGGCCCTTCCTCAGAGTGAATCTCTGATTACCGACAAAGAAGTCAACTATGCATCATTTTCTTGTCATCCTTTTCTCTTGGATTTTTGGCTTATTTTCGATTGAAATTATCCCAATAACAGGTTGTAGGAGAGATGGGAGAGGGAGATGCTTTTGGAGAGCTTGCTTTGCTTCATAACACAAGGAGGGCAGCCACTATCATATGCAAAGAAAACTCGGAATTCCTAAGGGTTGACAAGCCTGATTTCGATGAGGTCAGTCAATAATTAAGAAACTGAAAAATAAAAGAAGAAACACTTCACATCAGTTTCGTAAAAAAACACTCAGGAAAGTATACCCATGAGAGGCTGCAGAATCATCTTTGTTACAATCACATAAAGATAGATTCACAAGCCGCCAGGCATGGAAAAAAAAGGTATAAGTATACGTGCAGTTTTTAAAAAAGTAGTTAGACAACGGGCGAAAAGAATGCGTTTGATGCAGGTATGGCACTCTATTCCAGTTACTCATTGGCCTTGCTCTTTAGTTTGTTTGTTTCTTCTTCAGGTTCTGAGAAACAGTCATCAGATCGAGTGGGAGAGAAAACTGGCTGTACTAAATTCTCAACCTGCTCTCCAAGATTGGGCAAGAACTGAAATCAGAAACACAATTGCACACACAAAGATCAGAGAGTTTTCTCCCAATACAGTACGCACTGTTACGTAAGCTGTGAGACCAGCCTTGCCCTCAGGCATTTCGTGGACACTTGGGAATGGAAAGGGCAGGGGACTTTTGACAAATGCAAAGCTTGAGAGGGGAAGATTGCAACCCAATCCCTTCTAAATAATAAAAATAATAATAACAACAACAATAACAATAATAATAATAAGTATTGGGGCATATATACAAGGTCTCTATGCTCTCAAAAAGCCAGAAAATAAAATTACCATGAGAAAAATATTGTATCTATCTCTGAATCTGTATGTTAGATATGTATTCAAGCCTACACAATAAAGTTCTTATAAAATATCGATCAAAGATAAGTTTTAACTGAGCTTTTGAAATAACTTGAAATATTTGATAAGCAGATGCTGCCAGGTATCAAAACCCATAGCTTTGGTGCTGCTGTTTGAAACATATATAATGGATTCCAAAGAAAATATTTCTTTAAAGGATACATTTTAACTAAACTTTTGAATTGCCTTGCATACCCATGAATTTTTCGGCAAGGGGGAATGGAGAGACATCTAGCTATGAGGCAGTTTTGAGAGCATTCTTGTAATAAAAACCTGAAACATGCTGCTTTCTCTGTCTTTCTTCCTGATCCTAAGAGCATCTATAGCATGTGTTACATATGAACTTAGCACCTGTCATGGCCAACATCAAATTCCTCTTACTGAATTCACAGCATGGTTCCTTACCCAAAGTGTACCTACCATCATATCTAGCTTCAAACGTCTGTTTTGTGCTTTATTATGTTTTTTCATCAACTCAATTCAAAAGTTTAATGTAAATGACTACACTGCCCTAATCACTAACATTTAAAAGACGTTCATGTAAACAGGGAACACAAATTAAAAGAGCCACCAAAGTTCACTGTGGGCACAAGCTTGTGTAAAGTTGATGACAAATATAACCAACAGGTTACTAACAGATTACCAGTAGGCCTTCAAAACTTGGTCTTCCGTCAGGCCACAGTCAGCCGACTCGTGTAAGCCAACTGGTAACCTGTTGGTTAGATGTCGGTAGTCTTTTGGTTATCTGTTAGCTGATGGTTGACTAACAGGTTTTTTCAGGGAGGTGTTCTCCACAGTTACCCAACATAGAACACTATTTATTTGTTATTCATTTCAGGTTATTCTGGGCAATATGGATACACCTGCTGATGATGTGTACTTCATTCAATCTGGTAAATGTAGAGTAGTCAGAGAGATAACAGTGATCAAGAAAGAATCTTCCTCTGGCAAAATCAAACTAACACTGCCACCCATTAACTTTACTGACAACTACATCAAGAACAAACCAAAGGAAAGTGTAGTCAGAAAGTTTCTCACCATACACATACTAAACAGGGGAGATTTTTTTGGAGTAGGCGAGGACTTGAAGAAAACTTTTATTATCTCAGTTGGAAGGGTGAGTGGTTCTTTTTTTTTCTTTCTAAAGATTTGTACATTGTACAGGCAGAAGAACAATAGGACACGTAGTCCCCTACAAGGTTCATCCACCTAAACCCAACCCACCCATCCCACTGCAGGGAAGGACATCCATCACACAGTAATCTCGTGTGTGGGAAATTAACGTCTCCTACCCCTCCTGCAGGAGACGGGACCTCCATTTATTCGTCCCTATCCGAGAAGACTAGAATATCTAACCATTTCTTGATGTTATAGAAAGGAAGCATATTCTTCTCAATTATTTTAAGACCTTGAGTGTTGGTCCGGCTGGGGCTCGAACCCTCGACCTCCCTCACAACAGTCCAGAGCTCTATCCATTAAGCTAACTGGGAGGCGGTTTAAATTTGATTAAATTCAAATTTGATTGAAAGGAAGATGGAAATTCTATAAAACTCCCTGTAAATCAGAAGATAAGCACTTTTCTGTATGAATTCATTTTGTGAGGGGAAACAGAATGTCCAATTTTACAAGTAGGTAAGTTAAAAATCATTAAAACACTAACGCAATTGCTGTTAATTAAGTTCTAGTAGAGACCTGGTTCTTGAGTAAAAATGAATGTGTGAGTAAAAATTGTGGCCTCAATGTCCAACAGGTACACTGTCTGCTGATAAGTCGACTCATCTTCATGAAAAAGGAAAGAGGAAAAAGCCTGGAGGCCATGAAACAGCATATGAGTGAAACATTTCTAACACACAAACAGGCATTCAAGAGTTACATTGAGGATAGAGACTGGAAAATTTATAAAAAGAAACTTGTTGATGAAATTGTGAAGAAGAAAAGAAGGCCAAACTGTTCAACATACGATGATGTTCCAATTGTTGTGAGAATTGAAAACAACCACTACTTTGAAAAATAATTTAAATGAATAAGGTGTTTATTGCAAATTCATGTACATGCACTTTTAATGTATTAACATTTCACCATGGTGCACAAGGTTCAAAACTACACATACATGACAAGAATAAAAAAAAAATAAATAAAATTGTAAATGATCTAGTTGCAAAGCATTGAGCTTAACAATCATGCCTGAAACAAACACACTAGTGGACTTATAAACTTAGCACTGTAAACCATCCATCAGAATTTTTAAAAAGGGGCATAAAACTGCACATCAAACAGTCCTCGGTAAACTGCCACTGCTTCAGAGTCCTTTACGTACTGCTGCAGAGTCCATGGACTGTAATACGAAAACCTCAAACAACTTTTCAACACAGCAATCCCTGACACAGGAACCCAAGCCACTTGTTCTCAGGCAGCATCTTCATGTTATTCCTGAATTTTCATGTTATCTCCTTCATTGCAGCCCACCTAATTTTGTCTCTAGAAAATATATCCCTTTCTAAATGTAAAAACAAAAACTCAAATGAGAATGCAACCTTACATCTCATCAATTGGGAAAAGTACTCCTAATTGGATCTTGCTTTTAAAAAAATTCCTTTCATGCAGTTGGTAAAAATCTTAATAGATAATCCCAACAAATACCTAAAAAAACAGTAAAAAGCCTGGGAACCCACTTTGATAGAGTACTATTAAAATATAATCTAAAATGGAGAGTGAATTTACACAGTGCAAACAACTCCAAAAACTTAAAAAACCGATGACCTGTTCTTAACACAACATATGCCAGTTTAAATACAATTAATCACTTGAAAATAATTTTTCTTTATTTTCAGAAGCTCTGATAACCCCTTCAGGATTAAACAGGCTTTTAAAGATTGTTGAGACCCAGCTCAGAACAAATAAAAGATACAAATTTAACATTACAGTAACAATATACAGCTATACTTCATAATCCACATACTCTAGGATTGTCCTGGATACAAAAAGAATCTCCTGAAGTTCTGGGATCATGTTTACTGTAGGTAGTCTCGACCGATATATTGGTTGACGTATTGGTTGAGACTTGGTGGATACTCAACCAATATATTGGTCAACACTCAGTGGACACTTGGTCCATACTCCCTCGACAATCAGTCAACACTCAGTTGATAGTTGGCGATTACCCGGTCGAGACTTGGTTGATAGTCCATAATCTTGACTGACATGTTGACCAAGTCTCTACGGAGTATTGGCCTACGATCAAACGACAATCAATGTAGTGTGGACTGAATATGGACCAACACATCAGTCAAGTATCGACCGACTCTTGACCTATGAATCGACCGATATACTGGTCAAGAGTACCTGCAGAAAACATAATCCATCTCCTGTACAGTGCACAGCCTCTCCTCATATATAAAGCCCATTAAAGTATATTTGAAAAAATTTCAACATTGAATTAGCTGTGGGGAAACCAGGTATATCTTCTCTATATTTATTTTACGATAGGTTTTCTGCTCGAAGATGGTTGGATTTGTATGCTTTACTTTTTATTTGGGACTCTGAACATCTTCAGTGCGTGTGGGAAGAGACAACACAGATCATGATATCCAAAATTAAACATCTTTAGATTTGAGGTTTTTAGAGCTTATGGTTTCTGCAAATGTAATGTTTTTGAGATCACACCCTTTCGTACGATTTCCATAAACGAAGACCCCATAATAAAAACCACCTCCTTCCACCAAAGAAGTTTCAAAACGACCATTTTAAACTGAGATTTTGGTGTAAAAATTACCTCGTACTGTTCCTTGATAACCTTCGCTTCCACCTCATCTTTTTGTCGTTCAAAATCCCTTCTTATTGATCTTCGAAAGAATTCGTAATCTGTATATTTTAGTGACCTTCCTTCCTTCAGAATTTGCCGGTATAACTGCAGGACTTTCTGACTGGATGGAACTCCCGCAGAACTCATAGTTTTCTCCTGTGCACTGAAGGTAAAGAGTCTAGTCTCTTCTTGATGTGTTATAGCGTTGAAGGGTATTAAAATAGATGTAGATGTCTAGAAGCAAGGTGAGCCTCGTTACAACGATCAGTGGATTTAACTTGGGATTTTGAGAAAAACTGGTAACTAGTTTGCGGTCAACGAACGAGGGAAGTTAGAATTAAACAATGCAGTGAGACGTTTTATTTTGAACAACATGGCAATAAGAGATCGCCGAATGGTACTGTACATGATGTAACTACGATCATTTTTAAAAAGGGTAATAAGATCAGAAGAAAGGATCATGGCAAGGGAGCGTCAAGGAAGAAAATTTTCCTCAGTGAGGGAGCGGAGTCTTGACAGTAGTACAAACGATGATTGGGAAACATTATTTGAGCCAAGTGTAACTGACAAAGGTACATATTCAGTTTATTTATCAGCTTTTTTACCCTCTCGTTACTAGATCTGAATTATATTTAAAACTCTGTATCCAACGGCGGTACAATGAGTCCATTTTGAGACGGTGAAAAGAACGATCAAGTTTGGTCAGTTACGTTTGATTGCCAAACATTCTAAACATTGCAAAACATGGATTTGAACGGGTCTACTTGTTTGGATAGATTCGCCGGTAAGTGGAGAAAATCAAATAGTCACATCTAATGGATGATATTTGACTTTATGGCGTGGTTTTCTTAACACAACATATGCTTTCTATGTAGAAAAGCCACTGCGGTGCATAATAATTAAATATAGTTTGAAATTCCATCCAAGTGAGATCATCGCCTTGTTTTTATCTCTGATGCTATAAAAAGTAACTCCAAATGCTAAGGACCACAGGGAATACCATCATTATTTCATCGAAGCAATACAGTTCATGTAATTTGGATTCTCATTCTTTTTAGCATAATTATTGTGTGACAGAATAGTTGGAAAAATAACATTGTTATTATGACTTGGATGACTATGTCTAGCATTATATTGTATCTGTCTAGTATTACATTGTAAAATTTTAAAATATTTGAGAGATCAGTGATTGATTGAAAATGTGTAATTTTTTTTTTTTAATTTCTGATTGGCAGGTAAATCTCAAACATCTAAAGCAGATCTTGATCTTGATCTTTTTAATTTTGAGGAACCTGCAGCACAACAGAGTCGTTATGTTTTGACAAGTCCAAGGTCTCTGGAGGTAAGATTGTGTCACATAACTCAAACTTGAGATACTGTCCTCTCCAGTCAGAAATTATTGGCCACTGTGTTGTTTAGAGATACCAAGACCCTTATCTTCTCTCCTAGCCACAGACTTATTTAATTGTTGAACTCCTTTCAAAGGAGAGTAAATTTGTAAATGGATATCAATGGTGTAAATTTTTCTAATGATACTATTTTGAAGATGGTTGAATGCAACATGTAGCAAGACTTTGTAATTTTATGTTTTGTATCATGAGCACAGTCTTCCTCAAGTTATAATATCATTTTAGATTGTTATTAAGAGTAACTTTGTGTAATTGTGTATGTAATTGTAGAATATCAATGGATTTGCAAATATAATTCTTCCAAAATTTTAGAAAGACAAAAAAGAAAAAATTAATGCACCCAACTCAAAATTTTATACTATTTTTATAAAATTGTAGTAAATGTGTTTTGTCATAGATAAATTAGGTCCTGTTTTCTAGACTGTATCTGACTATTTTTATTAGATAATTCAGATGTACCAGTATGCTAAATTGAATAATGCTAAATAACTTTGTTCTTTTCTTTTAGGCTTGTGGAAGGTTTGGAATAAAGGTACACTGTGCTTGAAGCAAAATTGATTATAATTGAATTACAGTTCTGACCTCTCTGTACATACCCTCCCATGCCAAAAAAAAATTAATTTAAAGTTCACCTTAACTCCAGTGACTGACCAAGACAGGGTTTCTCCTAAGAATATCCATAGAATATCAAGCAGACAAGTGATGAGGAGACAGAAAAACAACAATTAGGGGATTATTTGCTGATCTAATACCAAATTCTCCATACTAAGATCATAAGAATTGAATGGCAGACAGTAAGGAGAGTTACTAAATAAATGAGGTCTTGGAGTGAAAGGGTTTAATTTAATTTCTCAGTTTTACTTCTAACTAAAGTAATTTCTTGCTGTGATACTTAGCCTGTAGAACTGTTACACAAGTCATTGGAGGAGTTTGTTGAGGAATTCAGGTCTTTGTATGATACTGACTACCCACTGCTTGCTGTTCGAGAAGTGTTTCAGGAACATGAAAGGCAAAGGCTTAGTAAGTGTAATACTTGTTACTGTAGTTTGCAGGTTATATAAAACTTAAACAAAAAAACCAAAAAAACAAAACAAAACAAAACAGATTTGGTTTACAAGCTTAGAGCAGGCCAATGGTGACATTCACTCTTGTGAGGTGATAAAGTTCATATTTACATGGGTGTATTTTACTTTTTGCATTTTCATTTGATCTGCATGCATTCTGACTTCGAAAGCAAAGATGAAGTACCTGATACATGTTGTGTGGTTGATGTAAAATCTGCGAAAGTTAATGCACATCAGATAATGCAGAAGACACGTATTTGTAATTTTTATAGTTGAAATTCAAACTGCATTGTAGTTGTAAAGGCCAACAAATGTAAGTGTTCAAGAGAAATAAAAATTTTGAAGCATCCAATGCAAAGCTCTAAGTGGCATCAAAAGCAAATTTCAAACAAGTTCCTACACTGTACAAGGTCAGTGATGGCAGTATATTCTGTATGAAATCATTGTGGATGGAGAGATGTTTAAATGCATGTTAAAAGTTACTACCTAGCCTTCTTAATTGGAGATTACAAGACATAGTTATACTTATGTATAAGGTTAAATATAGACTAGTTCCTGATTTTATTTGTGATATTTTTAGTCCTAAGTCTTGTAAATATAACTTTAGAAATCAAAATTTTTATATTAATTCCTAGGTTTAATTCTGTATTGTATGGTAAACACTCTCTTAGATATCTTGGACCATTTTTATGGAACAAACTGAAAAAAAAACATTACAGAAATTAGTAGCCTTTCTAGGTTAAATTTCATATTAGGCATAAGGATCTTACCAAACTGATAAATGGTAACAATTGCCTCGTGTGCATAATTTGTACCTCTTAGGTTATATAATCTATAGCTTATTTCTTATCATTAATTAGGTTATTCATTTACGTTATGTCCCCAATTAGCATATTCAGCTAAATACATTGACACATAAATAAAGTTTATCATCATCATCATCATCATCAAGTTTACTCATTTTAAGATTGTGGAATTTTTCCACATCAAGGGTTGTTATTTTGGGGTTTGAAGACATCAAAGACACCCTCAGTAATACTTTTCTTGATTAAAACTTACATATAAAATATTAATAAATGATCACATACTAGAGACTCTTACTGAAAATTTGACCTGACAGACCCAGTTATGATTTTAACATTTCAAAATACACTCATCTGTTTATTTTCAAAATACAACCATGAAAAATAATTCTGTGAGCTCAGTGTGTGGCATATATTGTCCTTGACAGTTGTATTGGTTCATTACATCAACACTTGAAATGGCTGAGTTACATGACTGTACAAATATCCAACTTTTGTTTGTGTCTTTTTAGGAAAATTAAAGCTTTGCAGAGAGGAAAGGGGAAGGATAATTAGGGAAAGAAGTTCCGAGTCTGCCATGAGCAGTCAAGGTAGACATTTCACATCAAGGTCGCTAAGCCCTGGTAAGAGGCTTTGTTGTAAGTTAGTTTTTTTTTAATAGTGTGCTGACACTACTGGACAGGTATGGAAAAAATGAAGGCCTTTTGATGCTTACTTGGAGATTAGGGGGGGAATAATATTGACAGGAAATTTAACACCTGTTTGAGTTTCTATGCCAACCCACCCCAAAGTTTTGAAAATATGATTAAGAAAGACAGAGTAACAATTGTAAAGATGATGAAAATTAAACAGAAAATTATTAATGATGGGTTCATTTTTACTATTTGCAGTTTAAATTATTTTCTTTAGATTAGGATGTTTTTTGGTTCTCAGATCCCTTTACTGCAACTGCATATTGGATACATCAAATATGAATTTTTCTTTATAAGGGATATTGTTTGCTTTAATCAGAAAACAAACTAGACAAGGGATGGAGAACATCTCATGAGGAAAAAGAAAATGGAAGGACACCTTCTCCCGTTGACAGACAGAAATATCACAGGTTTGGACTGTCTCATTGTATGTACACCTATAGCTACTGTCTCATTGTATGTACACCTATAGCTACTGTCTCATTGTATGTACTCCGTCCTATAGCTACTGTCGCATTGTGTGTACACCTATAGCTACTGTCTCATTGTATGTACTCCGTCCTATAGCTACTGTCGCATTGTGTGTACACCTATAGCTACTGTCTCATTGTATTTACACCTCTAGCTACTGTACATGTCGTGCACAAGTTATTATTATTTGTGTAATTTAGAGATTGAGTGTGTGCTTAATTAATATGTATATTTTCTTAATTATAAAGGGTGTTATTGTTATGTTTTTTTTGCTGGACAACCACTGTACTAAGACAATAAAATGCACATGGTCCTTCATGTTACTGCTGTTACAATTACCAAACTTGCCACACTGAAGACAAGCTTGCTATGTTTCCATACATTCCAGGCTTGTCACCATAAAATGAACACTTGTTTAATATTATGACTGAATAGAGAACATGAGTTATAAATAAAAGCTAACTGAAGTGAAATACAGGTGCAATTTAAATACAGTGAAAGAAGAGGCAATGTGATGGTAACAGTTAAAGAATTTGAAAGTCCAACTAAGTTGTCACTGAGCTTTGGACAAAAACAGTGTAAGTTGTTGATTGTGGTTTGAATAAGTTAAGATCTAAAAAGCAACACAGTTTTTTTAGGTGTTATATTTAGTAAATTTAGCATTTTGTTTTAGAGGTTCAAGTCCACTGAGTGACAGAGGAAAAGAAAACATGTATGCGATAGACAGAAAAACCTCAAAGCCTCCATCAGAGCAAACAAACTACAGGTTAGTATTGTTGTTTTCCATTATGTGGTGTAATCAATACATACATGAACACAGAAAAAAGGATTTTGTTAACATCACTACTGCAAACTCTACTTAATGTTTAATAGTGTATGAGAGACTTACTGTTCAGTTCTATTTTTAGAAATGTTGAGAAATGAAAAGTTAAGCAGTGGTGGCTGCAGTTAGATTGATAAGATACCCCATACATGGTACTTCATTGCCTTCTTAGGCCAAGCCCTGCCCCAATGGAAGAAACTAGACAGATTTAGAAACTAGTATTAAGCTAATGGCGGAAAGAGAATTGAGGTTCTACTATCTGCCTTTGAGCTCTTTGAATATGTAACAATGTGGAAAGATATAATTATTCTACTTGCTGTGGAAATGAATGTTACTTATAACTACCGGTATGACCCACCCATTAATTTCGCATTTCCCCATAAAGCAATGCTTCTTGGTCAAATTTTAATTATTTGGACGGTCTCTCAGCCCTGGACATTATCAGCCAACATACAAGCCGCCTGATTGCCTGAAGGGGCTTATTTACGGCATATTTTCCACTTATATGTTAGATTTTCAGATGTACTTCTGCCTCAGAAAAAAAAGATGTTAAAAATTTTTTTTTAACTTTCCTTAAATGTTCTCCACCAACGTCTGTTTGTAAAATTACAATAAAAACGATAAGTCACGGTACTTGTTTAAGAGATATGGTGGGCCAGTCTTACCCCATTTATGCCTCTACTGGTAGCAGTCGTGCACGTTAATTAATCGATTCACGGTACATTTTGTGGTAGCTGGAAGAAAAGGGTTTTAAAGTAACAATTAAAAAAAATTGATGTAGAAAGAAGATTGGTGTAGAAAGTCTCGAGCGTATGGAAAAGTTTGATATATGATTTGAGGAAAAAATCACCAAGTCGTTGTTTTCAAGGTTCTAATTTGCATCATCAAGTAACGTGCTTCATAAACGCTTTACCCTATATCTTTTTTTCCTTTCGATCAATTTATACTTTAATTTCTCCAATTTAATGGGGATAATTTGTACACCAAAATTATGCAATAAAAATACAGGACACCGTGCTCGTTTAAGAGCTAAAGACCATTGCATCACTTAACCTGGCTCACTGATTGAAATCAATACCGTGTTCTCCGACTACGCGCGCGCTTATTCGTCTGATTGCATGATTTCTGTGCGCAGTATATGATGCGCAATGCAATACTGAGGAATCACCTCAAGGATCAGACTGAGGTAAGGAAGTGAAATAACATGCAAATTTTGCTATTCCTGTTTGCAGCAAACCTGGCCTTAAACCTATCTGTTGCTGAATAACTATAACTAAGCATGGTCTGTCAATTCTTTACAGGACTCGGTACGCTTCAAGTCCAAAGAGTCGTAGTCCTGTAAGTCCTAAGGGTGGTAGTGTGAATTACGTCGAGAGCTCTGACTCAGAGACTGAGGCAGAGGCCAAGAGGACATGGTCTGCAAGTGTTGTTTATTCACACGGACATTCACCGAGAACAAGTAAGAAACCCTCATCTGCAGGATCCTTCAGAAAAAGAGCCAATTCGCTCATCAAGAGAACAGCCTCTATGGATAGTATCGACTTGTTACGTTCAGTGCCAAGTGCATCAAGTGGAAAGGGTTTGTCTGAAAAGGTAGCCACAATTTTGAAACTACGGAATCATAGATCAGCTTATTAGGCCTTTTTAGGGATTGCCAAGCCTCTGTTTCATAAAGAGGGCAACGCTTTGTTGCTCTCATATGCAGCTGAAAAAGTATCGTATTTTCACCATAAAAGTTTTGCAGCCACCCTTATTTTGAAAGTGAGGGTTCTGACAACTCGTAAACGGCCTTTGTCAATAACTAGAACACTGTAAAATCTATCATTTGTATGTCTTCATAAACTTAACGTGTTAGTAGCACTTCATAGTATGATATGGAGTGGATTCTTCATCAGTTGTTTTGTCTAGGGGAATTTTTTTGTCACCTTTTGGTGTCTCTACAACTACGAAAAATGTGAATTAAAGTTTATTTATTTCCTGCTGCGGTGACTGTGCGTTTATCCGTATGTACATGTTGTGCTTCACAGATATTCTAACATATCCAAAAAGAACCATGCACGGTAACTTATGAATTGATATGATATTTCATATTTCTTATGAACTTATGATATTTCTTTGTCTTTTTTTATTTGTTGTTTGTTTGTTTTTGTGAAGGATCAACGTATTGTGAATTTAATGATGTCCAGACATGAAGAAGAAGAGAGATCTCGTAAGGAACGATTGATGTTGGAGTTAGAGTGGGACGAACAAAGAAAAATAGAAGAACAACTGAAAAAAGCTCGACAGCAACAGAGACAAGCTGAAATATGGGACACTTATAAAGCTAAGGATGCTAAACAAGTCAGTGAAACACACTGTACAATGTTTTCTACCAAAAAAAAACACGCTATATTGTTGTCTAGTGATCTTTTGTGTTGATATTTTTAGCATGAATTTCACAAAATGTGAATGTAAACATTTTCCGTTTAACAAAAATTACGCAAAACGACTTTTTTTGGACAATTCTAGTTTGAAGTGCGGGCAAGAAGACTAAGAAATGAACAAAGGTTGAAAAAAGATCAACTTGAGAGGCTGTTGTCGAGGGACAGCGCCTGGCAGATGGAGAAAAGAAAACAAGAACAAATCAGGGTCAGTACTAAAAAAGCAAACCTCAATAATAACCCTCAATAATAACCCTCAATAATAACCCTCAATAATAACCCTCAATAATAACCCTCAATAATAACCCTCAATAATAACCTCAATAATAACCCTCAATAATAACCCTCAATAATAACCCTCAATAATAACCCTCAATAATAACCCTCAATAATAACCCTCAATAATAACCCTCAATAATAACCCTCAATAATAACCCTCAATAATGTGTTAGCCATTGTATTTGTAAAAAAGCAACCCTCAATAATAACCCTCAATAATGTGTTAGCCATTGTATTTGTAAAAGCAACCCTCAATAATGTGTTAGCGATTGTATTTGTAAATTTTACCAAAGAAAGAGGTTATAGAAACTTACAGCGACTCACATTTCCTCTTAATTTAAACATACTTTTCCAGAATTTTAAACTGAAGTTTTTAGGGGGAAGAAGAACTTACAGCTAAGAACTTAAGAGCAGGTGCAACGATCATGTACGTGTAACAAAATCTCGGTCGATCCTCTGTACGCGCTGACGAAGGGCTGAACCTGGAAATGTCAGCTTGAGAAACTCTTCACGATGGCCAATTTACTATTAACTCATTTGATAAAACCAAATTATCTTGTAACACCCCGACCGACGCAGCACCACATTGTCTTGAGAAAGTTACCCCCTTTCTCGTAGTTGTTTTCTTATTTTCAGATCTCATGATATTTTCTGTTGTGAGTTGAAAATAAACTATGATCTGTGACTGATCTTGAAAACTCGTCCCGCCCTATCAACCAATCAGAATTCGAATCAAAACAATTCGTGACCTGTTATCCCTGCACTACAGTCAGTTTTCTCGTCTTCAATTGAACCCTTCAAACCGTAGGAGTCACTGGCATCTAATTTTTCCTTACCGTATCACATCCGGCTGAAGGTCGTGGCAGTAAAAAAAATGACCGCTCACTAAAAAAGCTCTTGATTATTTGAGAAATTTTCGTTGTTATACCGGAGACAAAACTGTGGAGAATACACATGCTGATGTATAGATGTAAAGGGATATTAGGTCCTCACTGGTTCCTGGTAATATTTTCCCTTGTCTTAATGGTTAGTTATGATAATCTTGTTTTTGGTTCATTGGAAATGCGCAGTAAAGGTTTCCTAGTCGTTTACTAATTTAATTCTTTTAAACTCCAGGGTACAAAAATGCTGGCCAAGAAAATCAAAGAAACCGAGAAAAAACAGAAGCAGGTAGAGATAACAGCCATTATGCCACTATACAAATCTAATGACTATTTTCAGTCAACATTCCCAATCCACGTATTTTTATATTTATTTGTTTATATCATTGTTGCTGCAGGTAGAAAATATGTGGCAGAAACAAAGGGAAGACGAATTACATCGCAACATGAGCCAGCTTAATCTTTTAGACAAACATAAAACCGCTTTTGAGAAGAGGAATCATTTATCTGCTCAAGAACACTTGGTTAGTTCCATGGACACCCTCATGCGTAACTTTGAATTGCCACGAGTTTATCTGTGGTTTTTTGCCCAATTACACAAACATTGATCACAAGAGTTTTCGCTTTGAGGAGGACTTCTCGAGCTGCCTCTTGCCAACGATTTCAAGAAGTTCCACAGTGTTGCAATTGTAACTTATTTCTCTCGTAGACATGATTAAGGGGGAACTGCCCTTTGCCACATGAATATTTTGACCATTTCCAAACGCCAAAGTATGGATCGTGAACATTTTTCATTCATGGACAGTGTACTTTCAGTTAACGTAAAAGTATCGATAGTATCGACTTGTTACGTTCAGTGCCAAGTGCATCAAGTGGAAAGGGTTTGTCTGAAAAGGTAGCCACAATTTTGAAACTACGGAATCATAGATCAGCTTATTAGGCCTTTTTAGGGATTGCCAAGCCTCTGTTTCATAAAGAGGGCAACGCTTTGTTGCTCTCATATGCAGCTGAAAAAGTATCGTATTTTCACCATAAAAGTTTTGCAGCCACCCTTATTTTGAAAGTGAGGGTTCTGACAACTCGTAAACGGCCTTTGTCAATAACTAGAACACTGTAAAATGTATCATTTGTATGTCTTCATAAACTTAACGTGTTAGTAGCACTTCATAGTATGATATGGAGTGGATTCTTCATCAGTTGTTTTGTCTAGGGGAATTTTTTTGTCACCTTTTGGTGTCTCTACAACTACGAAAAATGTGAATTAAAGTTTATTTATTTCCTGCTGCGGTGACTGTGCGTTTATCCGTATGTACATGTTGTGCTTCACAGATATTCTAACATATCCAAAAAGA